ATTTTATCCAAAAAATAATACATAATCTTGGACTAGTTTTCACACTTATTCGAGATACAAAATAATGATATTTTATTTTATTTTTGAATCAAATATACATAACTTGTGTTTTATTGCATTTTGTAAGTAAAACTCGATATTTGACGAAGAATTGGAGAAAGAATGCAAAAATGTTGGAAAAAATGGTGAAATCCAAAAGTTAGGGACTAAATTGCAAATAATCCATAGATGAGACGAGTGACAAAATGAAGATAGAAGATGCCAATGATTTAATTGGATACAATTGGAAGATGGAAGATAAAGGAACATGATAACAAGAGAAAATGTTTAAAATGAATCAAAGTTTTGTGATTAAAGTGCAAATACTCAAAAGTTGTGTCGAATCTCATGATAAAGATTCGAGAGTTTTAGAGGTCAATTGGATGAAGAAATAAGTAAATGGATGAAATATAATCAAAATACTATCACATATTAACTTTCAGACGAAAAAGCTATACTTCGAATTTTTAATCAGCTTGAGACCCATTTTTGACGTAGCAAGCGTTTGAATTGAAAAAAAATGATATTTCTGGAAGATTTGTTGCTCATTGAATTATGTTTCTAATGCACTTTGAATTACCTAAACTGAATATCGAGAGAGAAATATATGACAAAAATACAGAAGGTTGTTCGGCAGGAAAAAATTATACCTACGCGGCCGCATAGATTTCATTAGATGTGGCGGCATCTATACCTCCAGGGCTTCTGGATCCAACTATGATTTCTTCTATGCAAGCTATTCCATTTGTATTACGCGGCAGCATAGTAATTTTTCGATGCGAGATTTTGTTTCATTTTCCAATTGAAACTCTACTTTTGTAACAATCTTTTGGCATTCTTTAAATATCATATTCCGTCTAGAAGGTAGGAAGACCTCCCTGGACCTAAAATTTATATTTCTACATATTTTGGAGATGAAGAACGGGGAACACTTCATCAATCAAAGACGGATTTTCACAAGATTATTGAAGATATATCCTCTCTTTCCAAGATTTCATTCAAGAAAGTGGATTTCTCCACTTTCGTCTATCTTTTCTTGATCCGAGTGATGTTATTTCATATTGTCTTGTGTGATTCAATATTTAGGATGATTAGCTAAGTTCTTCTATTGTATTGGATGATTGAAGAATCCTATGTTTGTTTATTTCAATTTAATACTTTAATTTAGATATTTCTTTTTATTTCTTGATTGATTTTGCATTCTCGTTGCACTATTTAATTGTTTGGCCATCAATTGAATAATTAGTTACTTGTTGTAGTATGGGTGGGGATTGAAATTAGATTTTCAATAGATTGTTATAGAAGTTTTTAAAATGTATGATTGAAAAATTGTGAGACCTATGAAAGATGTGGTTAATATTGATTGTTTGACTTTGACTTAAATTAAAATCTGATTTTAATCCGTACCAAACAGGGCCTAGGAATACTCACAATAAATTTATAACGTGGTAAAATCAACACATAGACAATAGTTATTAGGAATAATATTTATGGCATGAGCAATTATGTAAATAAACTAAATTAAATGCATGATTTTCATATGAATTTGAATTAGGAATAGGATCTGATCGTGTTATCATAGGTTGATATATCATGAAAAAGAGCATTCAAAATATTAACATTGTCAATTGTCAGAAATGCATGAAATTAACTAGATTATTAATTGATAATTGAAATAGATGGAAATAGGGGGAATCCTGAATCCAATACAAGTATTCACATTCGATAAAACCACAATTTACTTGCTTTATTAGTATAGACTAGGTGTAGTATAAACAACCACAAAATTACTCTTTTTTTGTCGTTACTCACACGAATTTAATACTAGCTATTGAACTACATTTTAAACCTTATTATTCGTGGAAACGATAAACTCAAAACTCACTATTTCTAGTACTTACACAATGATCCCGTACGCTTGAAAGTTTTAACGTAAACAAATTTTTGGTGCTGTTGTCGGGGAATAATATATTTAATTTTAGTTTAATAATTTATATTTAATACAATTTTTTTTAAAATTTTTCGCTTTTGTTTGTTTTAGGCAATTCCTTTCTATTTCACTTCTCTCGGATTTTCACCAGTTTATAAAAGATTCTGACAAGATCGAGATCATTCATATTGATCCCAAAATCGAAATGACCTTCAAATAGCACGGGAGAGAATAGAAAAGAGCAGGCGTAATGGTTGTGAATCAAAATCAAGTTCAAGATGCACTACAGGAAGCAGCACTTCGAGTTCAGCAACCACCTCCTGTTTAGTTGGTATTGGTGGGGAATAATGTTAATCTAATGCCAGCTCTAGTTCAACCTTCGATCATCTATCCGTCCTTCGGACAAGCTAACTTCCACATTAAATCAGATGTCATAAACCTATTCCAGAATCATCATGACATCAGGTTTTGTGGGAAAGCCACAGAGAATCCTCATGAATACATACGGGCCTTTATCATGTTGTGTAAAGTGATCAGCTACGAGGGAATGTCACAAGATGCATTTTGAATGCATCTATTCTCTCACACTCTAAAGGAGGCTGCAAAAGCATGGATGTTTTCTCAACCTCCTAGGAGTATACAGTCATGGAACGACATGGTTCAGAAATCTGTAATAAAATACATACATTTAAATAGAAGGACCTTGATAGCTATCCATAAGCTTGAAAACAGTACAAGAGTTAATTTGTATAGGAAATGTCCTAATCTAAACATTCATAAGCAAGCTCAAATGTATCCCTTCCAATACGGTATACATCAGGAGTTCAAAAACATGGTAGATGCTTCGGTGGGAGGATCGATAATGATTATGAACGTGGATCATGCTTATGAGCTGTATAAGAAAATAGCAGAAAATCAATCGATGTAGCCGAACGACAACCAAAGGAAAACAAGTAGTATACATAATGTGGATGTGGTGACATCGTTGGCATCACAAATGGAGGAAATAATGAGAAAGCTTAACGCTTTGACCAATTCTGTGAATATGGTACAAAATCTAGCTCCAGTGTTCGCAGATTGCGGGCCAGATCACATCACTGTAAGATGTATTTTAGCTTCTACTCACATGGTCAACCAATAGAGGTCAATTATGTACAAAACTTCCAAAGGTAGCAGAACTACCCCAACAATTACCATCCAGACTGGAACAAGCAACCAAACTCATCAAGGGTAAAATTATCATAATATACAACCAGGGTTCCAACATCAGCAAGAGCAAAGGTCGTCGCTGGAAGATTTTCTATCTCAGTACATCACAAATACTGAGACCGATTTTTAGAATCAGCATGCTTCTATAAAAACTTGAAATAGCAGGTGAGACATATAGCAACTACAATAGTCAACAGAGCATAAGGTACTTTGCCTAGCAATACAGAGAAAAGTCTACAGAAGCATGAACTAGTAGTTGAGGCGATGAGTATTGAATCAGAGTCACAATCATTCATCCTTGCCACTCAGGTTCAGGCCATCACCATTAGGAATGGGGGTTCAACTACCGAAAATTAATACAAGAAGGAGCGAGACTGAGGGCACTTAGGTATCTATAAAGGGCAATGAATAAGTCGAATATTCTGAAGAATCAACATAGAATGATCGGCAAACGTATTCGGATAGTCCATAGGTTGAGGTAATAGTTCCTATCAAAGCACTTGCATACCCAATCACATTTCCTCAAAGGTTGAAAAATACTAAGTTGGAAAAGTAGTTCACAAAGTTCTTGGAAGTCCTCAAAAAGCTGCATATCAACATCCCTTTCATTGATGCGATACTTCAAATTTCAAACTACTCCAAGTTCCTGAAGGACATGTTGACTAAGAAAACGAAGTTGTCCGAACATGAAACAATAGCTTTATCAGAAGAGTGCAGCGTGATCATTCAGCGTAGGATCCCTCCCAATCTTAAAGATCCAGAGAGTTTCACTCTACCTCCATAGGAAATTTATATGATATAAATTATTTAATTGATTCAGGAGCGAGTATTAATTTACCTCTTTACAGGAAACTGTGATTATGAGATCCTAAGGCGGCATCTATTATCCTTCATTTGGCGGACCAATCACTGAAGCACCCCTATGGAATAGTCGAAGACATGATTATCATGGTGGGAGGGAGTTCATTTTTCCAGCTGACTTCATCATCCTAGACATAGAAGATACATATCAGATGCCAACAATCTTGGGAAGGTCATTCTTGTCTACAAGTCGAGCTTTGATGAATTTTGATACTAATGAGATAGTCCTATGGGTGGAGGATAAGAAGCATAGCTTCACCATCGAGAATCAAATCAAACAACCATCCTACTTTGAAGATTGCCAACGATTGGATCATTGGAAAAGTTACAAAGGTAGGCCAAATGCAGGAGGAATTATTGGTAGAAACAATAATGGAAACATGATTTTTTAGAGACTTTAGGATAAGCCGGGGAAGTGCTTTGACTGAATCAAGCTAGGACTGAGACCTTTGTTTTTAAGTCACCATGAAGAACCTAGAAACAACACGAGTCAAGCTAATGACTTTAAAACAAAGCGCTTATTGGAAGGTAATCCAATCTTTTTTCCCTTTTATTTATTATGCTTTTTAGACATAGAATAATTTATATTAGTTATTAGTTTTAATTGGGGAATCATCCTCCTCCTCCTGTTTCCCCTTAGGTCTTTTAGACTTTTGTTGGTTTACTAGATGTTTGAGATAAGTAACACTTGTTCTAGGTTTTTAAGTTTTAATGTTTTATTTGACCGCTTTGTGCGAGAACTGACGTCACAGAACACATAAATTAACATTGACTAAGGAGACAATGGTAGCAATTTGGACAAGCTAGCCATTGGATTTCACGCTATATCAAGAGAGTATCTTCTTCCTTTTCCTTCCCACCCTTTTATATGTGGATTTTGGATTTAAGAAATTGAGCATAATGTCTAGTTTAAGTTTGGAGGTGAAAAACACGAGTTTTCTTTTATTTCTGTGTGCTTTTGTTTGCTTTTTAAAAATTGAAAAATTTGAAAAATTCAAATTTTTTTTGTGCGCTTGCGTGAGTTAATTAAACTAGCTAGTAATGAGGGATATATTGAATTATGAATTGATCTATGAATGATGAATGTGTTACATGCTTAGTTAATTTTTGTATTTTCATGTAAAGTTTGATATATATTGAGTACATTAAAGAAGTTAAGCATTGTATAAAATTGAGTTGATTTCATAATTTGATAGGTTAAAATAGTAGATCATAGATGCTAAACTCAAAACCACTATATTTTATATCCTTAGACCAAATTTAGAATAGTTTGGACGGATTTTACTGTTGTATGAGGATGTTGAGATAAATGAGGATTCAATGTGTGAAATTAAAAATCTTGTGTAGATTATCTAAAGTCAATATGATGAAATTGGACGAAAGTCTTAAATTAGAGATCAATTTATCTAGATAGATTTTAATGAGGGGCATTGCACTAATCTAGGCATAAAAAAATAAATTTTATCTGAAAATTTCTCTTTGTAGTTTTTATTACTCGAGTTATTAAGTTTGTAAGGGTGTTAAAACTTGTTACCCTAAAGTCAACTAACTTTAGAATCATCAGTCTAAAGTTTGTTACATTGGTTATTAGAAAGTTTAAGGAGGAGAATATTGCAAATAAAGAAAAAGGTGTTGGAAAAAAATGAAAATTGAGAAAAAAAAATGAAGAAAATGGGGAAAAAAACAGGTGTATGAAACAGAGTATGCACCAAATGTCTTGATTAAGTCTCTAACACTTATTTAGGAAAATTCGACTTCTGATAAGGGATTATTTGCCTAATTAACTCCTAGAGATTGAAACAGCCAAACTTGATGGAAGATCCTTATTTATTGACATGTTGAGATGCAATTGGTAAGGTTTACCTAAATTGGAGAGGTGGGGATAGTATAAAATTTAACATTAGTTCATACATTTGAAAAGAGTGAAAATGCTAAGTTTTGGGTGTGTGAATCTCACGAGTGATAATAGATATATTTGGCCATTCATGGTTGGGAATGAAACAACTTGTGAATTCATGATACTATGTTTAATTCTTCACACACACGCGCGTCAATTTGGTAGTGGAAAAGTAAACTTTGATTTCTATAGGTGATTTTAAAATAGTGCTTAGATTTAAAGTAATGATTTCAATTCTGCGAAAAAAATGCCTGGTGAGCTAGCTAAATATTCTTACATGATTGTATATTTGTTATAAAATTGGGTCATAGCTTTATTTAAGGACAAACAAAAATTCAAGTTTGAAAATTTGATAAGTATAGTTTTTACACTTATTAGAGGTCCTAAATAATGATATTTTACTATTTTTTAGATAAAATACTGTCTAACTTGTATTATATTGCATTTTGTAGGTAAAATTAGTTATTTGATGAAGAATTGGAGAAAATAATGCAAAAATGGCGAAATCCAAAAATTGGGGACTAAATTGCAAACAATTCATAAATGAGACATGCGACAAAATTAAGATCGAAGATGCCAATGATTTAATTGGATGTAATTCATAGATAAATGAACAAGATTATAAAAGCAAATAGGTTAAATAAAGCAAATCCAAAGTTCTAGGATTAAAGTACAAATACTCAAAAGTTGTGATAAACCTCATGAAAATTTGAGAGTATTAGGGGTCAATTGGATGAATAAAGAAATCAAAGGGAAGAAATATAATCAAAGTTTTATCACATATTAACTTTCAAGCGAAAATGCTATGCTTTGGATTTTCAATCTCAAATTGAAACCCACTTTTGGCATTACAAGCGTTTGAATTGAAAAAATGATATTTCTGGAAGATTTATGGCTCATTGAGTTATCTTTTTAACGCTCTTTGAATCACCCAAGCCAGATATTGGGAGAAAAAGATATGACTAAAATGCTGAAGGCTATCCAGCAGGAAAAAATTATGCAGATGTGGGCGCATCTATACTTCTAGGGCTTCTGGGTCCAGCAATGATTTCTTATATGCGACCTCTTCCATTTGTAGTATGCGGCAGCATAGCACTTTTCTAAGGCATGATTTTGTTTCCTTTATCAATTGAAACTCTACTTTGGTAACAATCTTTTTGACACTTTTTAAATATCACAATTCGTCAAGAACGTGGGGAGTCCTCCCTAGACCTAAAATTCATATTTTCTACATATTTTGAAGGTGAAGAATGAGGACAATTCATCAATTAAAGGCGAGTTTTCATAAGATTATTTTAGATTTTTCATTTCTTTTCAAGATTTCATTTTAAAAAGTGGATTTCTCCACTTTCGTCTATCATTTCTTGATCTGATTGATGTTATTCCATATTTTCTTGTGTGATTCAAATTTAGGATGATTAGCTAAGTTCTTTTATTGTGTTGGATGATTAAAGAATCCTATTTTTGTTTATTTCAATTTAAAACTTTAATTTAGGTATTTCTTGTTATTTCTTGATTGATTTTGTATTCCCGTTGCACTATTTAATTGTTTGGTCATCAATTGAATAGTTAGTTACTTGTTGTAGTGAAAGAATACTCACAATAAGTTTAGAACGTGGTAAAATCAACTCGTGGATAGTAGTTATTAAGAATAATATCTATGATATGTGCAATCATGTAGATAACATAAACTAAATGCATGATTTTCACATGAATTCGAATTAGAAATAGGATCGAGTCGTGTTAATCACAGGTACCAATAACTTGAAAAAGAGCATGCAACATATTAGCGTTATCAATTGTCAGAAATGCATGAAATTAACAAGATTATTAATTGATAATTGAAATATATGGAAATATGGGAATACAAACATTCAAATTCGATAAAACCATAATTTACTTGCTTTATTAGTATAGATTAGAAGTAGTATAAACAACAATTTTAAACATTATTTCTCGTGAAAACGATAAACTCGAAACTCACTATTTATATTACTTGCACAATGATCTCGTATGCTTGCGGTTTCAACGTAACAACCTAGCCTTAGACCGTGGTTTCTTTTTTCGAAGACTAGTGGTATGTATCGAGACTCAAACCTAAGCTATTTATAGTTGTTAAACGGTTTTTCATCTTTCAAACATGGGAGGGCTTTCCAATTTCCTACCCCAAAACCACCACTACTACCAGCGGCTAACGCTATAGTTCCCACCTAAAACATAAAAAGGAATCTTTGATACTAGGATCAAGTTTCTTGAAACTAAAGGAGATGGATACCCTCCAGAAGATGAGAAAACTGATGAGGCATGTAAAGTGGACGTGGAAGTCGAAGGGGACATGTATCTTGAAGAAACAATTCTTGATTTAGGCCTTCTAGGATTGTTTGAAACCCCATTACAAGCATCTTTTTCGGAAGACAATAATGGAGGTCTTCTTGAAGTTATGATTTTTGGATTTTTCGAAAAACAACACCTACCCAACGCCAGCGCCACCTTCGACGACTCCACCTCCATCACACCACAACATCTCCACCTCAAATCCACAACCACCACAACCCAATTGTCCACAAGATAAGATTCGAATTTTGACATAAAAATGAAATTTGGGGATGGAAATATACAAAGTGAACAAGCTGCGTAGTGAACATTCACGCCACCGCCACCATCTAAATGCAACCTCCAACATCGTTTTTCCTCACCACCATCACCACTTTCATTCACTAGAACCACCACTTACATCATAACAATAACAAAACCTCAAAAACAATTCTGATTTCAAAATTAGTCTTAAAATAAAAATTCTCAAATAGGAGTTTTAATGCTTTTGAAACTTTTCTCTTTCGTCCTCACATAACTGCCACCTCCACCATCGTTTTTCCTCACCACCATCGCCACTTTCATTCACTAGAACCACCACTTACATCATAACAATAACAAAACCTCAAAAACAATTCTGATTTCAAAATTAGTCTTAAAATAAAAATTGTCAAATAGGAGTTTTAATGCTTTCGAAACTTTTCTCTTTCGTCCTCACGTAAGTCTAGAGGCAAGACTATCATGTCCCCTACCACATGTACCTCACTTTCATATAAGTGGTATCTCATTTAGTCATTGTTTGACTATCATTATTTTAAATTTTTTTTTATTTTATATTCTTATTTTCAATCATATATTCACACAATAACATATTATACACGTAAACTCAAAATTTTTCATTATTTTAACTACAAATTCTTCAAAAATTCACTATTTAAAATTATATGTTTACCAAATAATGACCATATCAATAAAGATGGTTAGGGAATTCAAACTAGCGGTGTCAACAAGTCAAGTCGAGTCGAGCCGAGCCCAAGCTTTTTTGTACAGAGCTTTTTTCAGCCCAAGCCTGGCCCGGCCAAAAAAAATGAGGCTCAGCCCGAGCTTTTGGCCCGAGCCGAGCCGGCTCGATTTTTTTGATTTTTTTTCTTTTCTTTTCTTAGCTACCTTTGCAAGCAGCTAAAAATAGCTGCCTGCAAAGGCAACTTGAGCTGCGAGCAAGCAGCTGCAGCTGCCAGGCAGCGCAGCTGCCTTGTGCCTGCAGGCAGCTGTTCCTGCCTTGCTGCCTACAGGCAGCACAGCTACCTTAGTAAGGTAGGCACAGCTGCCTGCAGGCAGCAATGCAGCTTTAGTTGTGCTGCCTGAGCAAGGCAGCTGTGCTGCAAGGTAGCACAGCTGCCTTGTGCCTGCAGGCAGCAAGGGAGCCGTGCTGCCTGCAGGCAGCTGCAGCTGGCAGGTAGCTTGCCTGCAGCTGCCTTCAAAATTTTTTTTTTTTTTTAAATATTGGCTCGCCCGGACCACGGGCCGACCCGAGCTCGAGCCGACTCCCCAAAGTGGGGCTCGGCCCGAGCCTGGGCTCGTTTCCACCATGCCCGAGCCGGGCTCGGCTCGGGCTTTTTCCGAGCCGAGCTCGAGCCTACGAACTTTTTTGCCACCGCTAATTCAAACCCTCCTATTGAGTCTAGGTGAAAACATAGGACCTAGCTTTTGAATAAAGAAAAAAAGTTAAGATAGTAAAATCTTCAATTTATGCGAAGTTTAACGAACTATTTTGATAAGTGTGCTGGGGATTAGGAGCATAAAATATGAATGAAAGGTTGAGCCAAAGTTGAATACCAAAATAGAATAGAAGATCTTAGGGCAAATTTACAAAATAATAATAAAAGCCAATTTTTGTTGTTGTGGAAACCCCATTACAAGCATCTTTTCCGGAAGACAATAATGGAGGTCTTCTTGAAGTTATGATTTTTGGATTTTTCGAAAAACAACACCCACCCAACGCCCGCGCCACCTCCGACGACTCGACCTCCATCACACCACAACATCTCCACCTCAAATCCACAACCACCACAACCCAATTGTCCACATGATAAGATTCGACTTTTGACATAAAAATGAAATTTGGGGATAGAAATATACAAAGTGAACAAGCTGTGTAGTGAACATTCACACCACCGCCACCATCTAACTGCCACCTCCACCATCGTTTTTCCTCACCACCATCACCACTTTCATTCACTAGAACCACCACTTACATCATAACAATAACAAAACCTCAAAAACAATTCTGATTTCAAAATTAGTCTTAAAATAAAAATTGTCAAATAGGAGTTTTAATGATTTTGAAACTTTTCTCTTTCGTCCTCACGTAAGTCTAGAGGCAAGACTATCATGTCCCCTACCGCATGCACCTCACTTTCATATAAGTGGTATCTCATTTAGTCATTGTTTGACAATCATTATTTTAAATTTTTTTATTTTATATTCTCATTTTCAATCATATATTTACACAATAACATAATAACATATTATACGCGTAAACTCAAAATTTTTCATTATTTTAACTGCAAATTCTTCAAAAATTCACTATTTAAAATTTCATTTTTACCAAATAATGGCCATATCAATAAAGATGGTTAGGGAATTCAAACCCTCCAATTGAGTCTAGGTGAAAACATAGGACCTAGCTTTTGAATAAAGAAAAAAGTTAAGATAGTAAAATCTTCAATTTATGCGAAGTTTAACTAACTATTTTGATAAGTGTGCTACGGATTAGGAGCATAAAATATGAATGAAAGGTTGAGCCAAAGTTGAATACCAAAATAGAATAGAAGATAAAGAAATCCCGTTTAAATGTTTTATTATTTGGCCTGCAAGTTGGCATCTTAAAAAATTCAGGATCGTACAATCTCTTCATCTGCCAAAATTGGCAATTCTCTCAAAATCGTTCGCCCCGTAACTACCATGTGCACGTTAGAGAAGCGCGGCAACCTTTTTATCCTAACCTTAACCGGCGACAACAAAGATGAGCATCGCTTAAATCCGGATCTCATATCATCGATCCGCTCCGCTTTGGCTGAAGCCAAGTCACAAGCCGTCGCCGGTTCCGTTCTTATCACGGTGGCTCAAGGGAGATTCTTCTCCAATGGATTTGACTTAAGGCACGCTCAATCCGTCGGCGCTAAATCCGGATCGATTCAAGCATCCCTGGATGAAGTAGTCCGGATGGTCAACCTCTTCAAGGGCGTTGTCTCCGATTTTCTAACCTTACCCATGCCCACAGTCGCCGCCGTCGGCGGTCACGCCGCTGCTGCCGGATTGATGCTAGCCATGAGCCACGACTATATCACCATGACTTCATCAAGGAGTGTGATGTACATGAGTGAGCTGGACATAGGGATGACCTTGCCCGATTACTTCACGGCTCTAATACGAGCCAAGATCGGATCGGCTTCAGCACGGCGCAATTTGATGTTAAGGGCTGCAAAAGTGAAGGCTGATGAGGCAGTAAAAATGGGGATCGTAGACTCGGCGTACGCCAGCCCTGAAGAGGCGGTGGAGGCTGCAATGCGCATATGTGATGATTTGGCTAAAAAGAAATGGGATGGTAAGGTTTATGCAGAAATAAGAAAGGCTTCATATCCAGAGCTATGTGGGCTTTTGGGATTGAAAGATAAGGCGATTTTACCTTCAAAGCTTTGAGAAATAATTTTTCACTTATTTTCTTGTGCTCTATGGCACTAGAAGATGATATAAGAATAAAAAGAATATGACAGTGGATAAATATTTCATATACATATCTCAAGTCTTTTTCGATCTTGTTAAATCTTGTCCAATAGCATCCCATCAAGCTAATTTAGTTTTGCAACAAGAATGGTGCCATTTTGGCATTTGGGAAGTCCTGAAATGTTGATGTATTTTAGGTTTTGGTGTAACGGTAATACAATTAAGGTTTGCAAAGTTTACATGGCTCTGGTTCAAAACTGCTGAGAGACCTTGCTCAAAAAGAAATGGATGGCTTAGTTAGGTTGATCTTAGGTTGTTTCTGCATATTTTTGGCTGAAAAAGGTTGTCATAAGACCAGATAAGAAGACAAGAGGTAGATCAAAACTAACATGTTTGTTGTGGTCGTTGAAATTATAGCTGCGTTTGATCTACCAAGAAGTTTTTGATTCATGGTAATTTTCAATTTGGCATGCTTTTTGGTGACCGAACTTCAAGTGACACTTCATATTGACCACTCAAATTTTCATGTTATGTTTCTGTTTGCCTAGCTAGTTGACGAAACTTTAATGTCTTCATGTAGTTTCAGTTGCATTCAGTTCGAGTTTGAACTCTAGTTATGACTACACCTTTTCCATTCATTTCATTGTTCAGTGCTGATCTCCTGCCCCCAATAGACAAGATAAAAGCTTCGCAGAATAAAGACTTCTCACAGCGACTGGGGCAAAGAGATCAATTCTATATCATTGTTCATTGTGCAAGTAGACAAAGTACAGAATTTATTGGCACTTGAAATTCCTTTTACAGACAACATAAGACTTAATGAATTGTTTACAAGTAGCACTTGGAGGTTGATTTTACATAATTCCCTTTTTTAGAAATTTTGAACAACTAAAATTTGAGTTTCAATCAACACATTGAGGGCCATGATCGTGTTCTTCGTTAAAATGTGTGGGTTAGGCTTCAAGACTTGTTCCAAGACTCTCTCTTCAAGTCGTCGTGCTTAAAATTTGCTTTTCCGAAGGGCCTATTCAAAACTTAGACCTTTGTATTGAGTCTGTCTCAGAGGCAAACCAAACCGATACCCATTTTCCTACTAAGACCTGTGGATTGAGTCAACCCACACAAATGACCCAACTACTTATGAAATTGAGAAATAAGAGCAAGCACCAATGGAAAAGGCATTTCCAGTAGAAGGAAGATGCCAATAACACCCGAATCAAATACGCAACCTTGTATATGCTCATATGTCTCACGATTTCCAGGACGAACAAGAAGAAGCTACATATATCAGAGTACCTATCGAGACATGCATAATTAGAACATCAGGTGTTCATTGTTATATCCTATTTGGCAAACAGGCCTCAAGACTCCAGCAGTATTAACATCACAAAAGGGGAGAATGAAATTTGTAAAATAGAAGGAAAAGAATTGAATATTCTAAAGGAAAACAACCTACAACATCAAATCGTCGTGAAAAAGAATAATCTAGTTTAAAGAGACTTATATGAACCTGCTTAAAATCATAATTTTAGACCATGTTTAGGAGTCTCTTCTTTGATTTACCTAAGATGTCTTCTGTTTAGGGGCGGCCTTTTTCTTGAGTTGTTTCCTCCCAATAGAGCTCTTCACCCCTAGAAAAAATAGCAATGCTCCAAAAAGCATTTTGAAATTTGATAAGTAAATCGTGATCAAGTGTAAGTTAGATGAGTAACGAAACAATAGTTTTATTGAGTTGTAATTTTGTTAAATATCGTAACTTGCCACGTGAAATTTTCGTTAGTCACATCAGCAAATAACGTCACGAATTTTTTACGGTAATGGACGGAGTACAAACGAGCAAAGCTCTGTGAGCACTGTGATACACTTTAAAGTTTAATAAGTTAACCATGACCAAGGTATAATTTAGGGGATTGTTGAAACAATTCACTCTGAAAACGTCATCTTCTTCCCCGCCCCTACCTCAAGATTTGCTCGAATTCAATTTTGTTGTCTTTGTTATCTAGTGGTTTTTCGCTTTGTACATATATATGTAAACAGAAATGAGTACATCAGCCCATAAAACTCCTAAATTTGGTGGTTGATCCCGATTATACCAAGATTTAGCAATCCTATAACTTCTCGAAGATCTACATGAAAATTCACAACCCAAGTCAGGCAGCCACAGTTTCGACTCTGGCATAAAAATTTTGCCAACTCTAATCTTCTGTTTTCTCCTATTTTCACCCTCGAAAACGGTCTAATTTTTCTCCAGAATCTGGGATTTCAAACTATTCGATTTCTCCGAGGTAAAATTTGATCCCTTCAACTGTCTCAGAGGATTCAAACAAAGTAATCAATAAGTTGCTGGACATTTTTTTGTTGCGGAGTCTTCCACGCTAGAGATTTAACAAGGAAGAAGAGAATATGCTTGCTGTTACCACCGCAGGTAGTAGAATCAAGATACTGGCAAATGCTTAGTTAAATATTTCATTAATAACTTATATTTCTATCACCTTTCATTCACTGAATTTTAAATGTCTCCCGAGGAGTCACTAAACTGTGAAACGCTGCACTCCATCACTCACTCATTATGATTCATAAGTCACTGAATTTTAAAATGTTAATGAGTGATCACTGAATTTTAACACATTGTCCTCCATCATTCACTTACCATGTTTCATTAGTCATTGAACTTACACTACAATCCCGCTTTACTCTTTGAACTTTAAAATGTTTCCGAGTGGTTTTGAACTTCATAATGTTTTTGAGTAAACTGATTTTCTATGAGATTAGACCTATATAAAAAAAAAATATTGAATAGATAATGAACTTTCAATCTAAGACAAAAATATTGAGATTGTTCAATAAGATATAATTTCGCTAATCGTCGAAAGCTATGTTTGAGGGAATATAAGAATGCTAGCTTCAAATTGACATAAATCTTAGTTAGATTATAATCTTCTTTACGTCGAAAAAATAAAATAGAGAAATTATTTCTTTATTTCGATTGAAATTGTAGACCTTAATCAAGAAAATAAAAAATTATATCTCAAACAGATAGTAAAATTTTCAACTTTAAAGTCAATAATATTAATAAAGACTAACAAACTATATTTTTTAGAGTTATCATAAGGTAGTTCAAGAGGAAAAGATGGCGTTGTCTTCATGTATGGTACTTTATACTTTAAAATTTTCAATTTTTGAACAATTGGATTCAATGAGTAAAGTCCAGTGAACATTTGGAAGCATTTTAAATTTCAGTAAGTAAAGCGTGAAGGTGGTATAAGTTCAGTAGCTAATGGAACATGGCGAGTGAGTAAGTGAGTTATGAAGTACAACATGTTAAATTTAAGTGACTGCTCAAAGGCATTTTAAAAGTTCGGTGATTAATGAAACATGGTGAGTGAGTGATGAGGTTGAATGTGTTAAAGTTTAATGATCAATCGAAAGTATTTTAAAGTTCAGTGAGTAAAGTGTAACGAATGTATACGTTCGGTGACTAATGAAACATTTAACTTGACAAGTGCTGCTAGTATGAGGTCCTCCAAAACTATTGAAGCCCAATTTGAAGCATTAAGCTTTGTTTGATGACCTTTAATTTAAAAGTTTTTTCTACATACTTATTTTTAACTACACATTCACATAATAATATAAACTCCCAGTAGAATTCTTGGAGGAATAAACAATTTGCACAATCACTAGCACTGCGGGCTCTAATTTTTTTAAAACCAAGACACTGAAAGCCATAAATAAAGTTGCAAGACTTTGTATGAAGCTCAACTAGAGAAAGGACATGATAAGTATGCAATACCAAGCGAGGGGTGAAATGGTACAAAAAAATTTTATTCAAATACCTGAATTTTCTACAAGAGTTGCGGCTCCATGGATAACCCGCCTATGAATTGTCCCTCAATGGTTAATTCCAAATTGTTGAGCTTAAGATAGAACTAATTCAGACGAATTCCCTTGTTTCTAAAGAGGATCGACAAAACCAAATTGACCTTGATATGGTGAAAGATAAACTTTCCACATAGTGCAAACGAGTCTCATTAAAATAATCATAAAAAAGGAAAGAAAAATAAAAATAATAAAAATCTATTTGTTCTCCAACCAACCCACGTGACACATCCAACCCCATTCTGCCAACATCCCCACCACCTCTCATCTTCCCTATAAAATTTCAAATTCCCACGAATTCGACATTTTATTAATAGTTATAATGTTCATCAATGTTTCGTGATGGTCCATAGATTGCAATAGAATGACCATTGTATTCTTTACCGCGAGGACCAACCGAAAGTTTGTATTTGAAGGTCTTACCAAGACTGCTGAAACCCTCTTCAAGTAACTAAATTTTTGTAGTTAATACCCTTTCTAATTTTTGGTTTTCATTCTAGTTGGGTTATTGAAATTTTAATTTTAATTCTAATTCATGTCTTGATTGTAAAATATCATATACATAGCACCTGAGCAGGTGCCGATTCACTATTGTGGCCTTAGCTAGGAGGGTGAACATGAATTCACCCTTGCTAATCCTACATCATGCAACTTAAAACATCTTACAAGACTTTAATAGAAGATATGGGCAACGACAATGATTTGTACAACATTTGCTTGCTCATCTTAAAATCCATTATCGATTGTCATTTTGTTAGAATCGTGCATGTTCTTCCAAAAGAAAGGTGACCATTTGCTATGTTAGAATTTGGGTGTAACTCGAATTCCTTATTGAAATAATTAAAGAATTCTAATTGAAGTGCACGTCAAAAGGAATTCAGTTTGGAATGTTTTTTGAGTCTTATTCAAGTTGAAATTCTATTTGGAAGTCTTATTGGGAAATTGGCTTGGAAAAGAACTTTAAGATGAAAAAAACAACTTGAATAAAAAAAGGGAAGGGCAAAACGCCTGGCGCCACAGTACCACGGGGTCAACGCCCCTGTTTCGTTATTTTGCTCGACACTGAGGTGTCGCCCGGCGATGTCTGTTTCGAATTTTGC